TTTCACAGATCGCAGCCGCCCAGGGGTGGCGAGGTCTAATCTGAGTCCCCGTGGTGCCTCACTCCGCTGGACCCACCAGCAGCCTCGAAAGTGGCGACAGTTTCACACAGGGATGGCGAGGTCTAATCTGAGTCCCCGTGGTGCCTCACTCCGCTGGACCACCAGCAGCCCTCGAAAGTGGCGACAGTTTCACAGATCGCAGCCCCCCAGAGATGGCGAGGTCTGATCTGAGTCCCCGTGGTGCCTCACTCCGCTGGACCCACCAGCAGCCCTCGAAAGTGGCGACAGTTTCACAGATCGCAGCCCCCCAGAGATGGCGAGGTCTAATCTGAGTCCCCGTGGTGCCTCACTCCGCTGGACCCACCAGCAGCCCTCGAAAGTGGTGACAGTTTCACAGATCGCAGCCCCCCCCCAGAGATGGCGAGGTCTAATCTGAGTCCCCGTGGTGCCTCACTCCGCTGGACCCACCAGCAGCCCTCGAAAGTGGCGACAGTTTCACAGATCGCAGCCCCCCCCCCCCCAGGGATGGCGAGGTCTAATCTGAGTCCCCGTGGTGCCTCACTCCGCTGGACCCACCAGCAGCCTTCGAAAGTGGTGACAGTTCCGCAGATCGCAGCCCGCCAGGGATGACGTGAAAGGCAAGAGAAGAGAAGAGGAGGAGCGAAGAGAGGAGGAGAAGGCAAGCAAGAGAGGAGAGGAGGAGGGAAGAGAGGGGGGGGGCGGGAGGAGGAAAACGGAGACCGCTGTGCTCTATTCAAAACGAGTACCCAACGCAGGAGGGTTGGGAATAATGTAACACAATACAGCATGTAACAATTATGCAATCATTGGATACATTGGACACGCTGCGTTATGACATCCGCGGACCTGCCTCCAGCAACGCGCCACCTCCGGACGTGGACTCTATAGGCTCACGCCCCGCCGGCCCCGTTGAATTTGTCGGGAGCGCGGTCCTATGGACCAACCATCGTTCACAGACGGCAGGTATCGGTGCAATAACCGGCGGAGTTGTTTTCGAATGGCTTGCGGTGTATCCCGCCACCGTGTCTGGGTTGCGGGCTTGAGGGCCTTCGGATGGTTCATGCGATTTCATGGGAGGCCTCACGTGGGCGTTTTTGGAGGTGGTATTTGGGCTTCTTGGGGGGTAGTTGGGCTTCTTGGGGGGTTCCTGGGGGCCTTCTGTGGTCCTTTGCGGCTTTTTTCTGGGATTTCTGGAGCCTCTTGAGGGGTTATTGGGGCAGGCTGGGGATGTCTTGGGGCCGAAGGCTCGACGAATTGACGAGTGGGGTGTCTCTTGGAGCCGACTCGGGACCCTCTTGGGCTGCCTTGGGGGTTCTTGGGCCGCTTTTGGGCGACATTGAAGGTTCCTTGGCCCGTCTTGGATGTTGCGAAAACCCAAAAAGCAAATGTGCTAAACATATACGTTTCACGAACGGAATGGGCCGATTTGTGTTTTTGGGGGCCCTCTTGAGGCGCATCTTGGGGGCCTCTTGGGGCGTGATGGGGGCTTCGGAGGCCGTTTGGAGGCGATCGTGGTCGTTTCGGAACCATGTTTCGGCGGATCGAGGCCCTCTTGGAACGTTGGGGGGGGCATCTTGGTGCCGTCCTGGCCCATTTTGGGGTTTCTGCTTCGCCAGGTCGCGTTCGGTGCGGGGTCGTGCTGGGCCGCAGGGGGGGGCAAATTCGCAGTTTGGGGTCCCAGGGGGGGATATGAATATGCGGGGGGCGCATATCGCACGCCCAGACACCCACAAGTGGTCGGCAGAGTCGATGGTGGGATTCGGCGTTTCTTGCGTATGGGTTCGAGTTCCGAGCGCGGCCGCCTCGCCCGCGCCGCCTCTGCGCGGCCCGCCCCTTGGCCATCAGCGGCCGCGCGCTTTTCCCCCGCTCGCCGCCGGCGCCGCGGCGGGGCCCAAGCGCGGGGCGCGGGCGGCTTCCGAGAGGGGTCGCTTGGGAGGGGGCGCGGCTCTGCCCGGATCACCGATGGAAATCACTTGAATCGGTCGAAGAAGCAGCTGCCGCGGGGGCGCACAGCGACGATCCATGGATGAGTGTTCCACGAGGACGAGGTACTGGGAGAAGAAAGCGAGGCTGTTTTGTTGCATAACCGAGAGCGATTGTGTTGGACTTTCATACGAAGGAGTGGCGCCTGCTACGCGATCTGCCCATCGAAAGGGCGGTAATGGTTCTTGGGCGGGTATCGGAAGCATTCTGTATTGAGTGTGAACCGCACCCAGTTTATGATTACCCCGTCTATGGCAGCGACGGCGCACCCAGTGCGGAGCCGGACCATGGGGGCAGTCATAACGGACCCTGAAAGAGGGCGCGACGTGAGTTGGATGTCAAGTTACGATGCCATCGCGCGCGCAGGCGAGAGAGCCTTTGAACCCTGTGTCTTTTTGGTAGGAAGCCGCGCAACGAAAGTGAGATGGCTGGCGCGAAGAAGCCGATGCAAGTGCTCCGAGGGGAGAGCGTGGATTGGGATGAGTGGGAGGCGGAACTAATGCCGCGGAATCAGCGCGGGCGGTCTCGGCGAAGGTTTTTGGCACAAGCGTTCACAAAGTACCGCTGCCAGAGGAAAGAACGGCCGGCGCGCTGTAAAGAATGCGCGGCGGAAGTGACAAATGCGGACGATGAGGGGCGCGAGAAGTGCAGCAGAGTATGGGCAACCAAAGCAGAAAGCGATGTTCCGACGCGGCACGGCGCCGATTGCGGCGTTGCGGAATATGGCGACGGGGGGGGCCGGAAAAGATTGGGATTCTGTGCCGCGCGAAGTGCCAGGATGTCAAGTAGAAGAACAAGTCGCATAGTAGCAACGCGAAGTGGAGAGAGAGAGAGAGAGAGAGAGAGAGAGAGAGAGAGCGCCAGCGCAGTGCGATGCTCAAAGTCAACGCGCCTTTCGCTGTTTGACGACAGCGTGGACATGTCGGAGGCGCAGAAGAGACGCGCCGCGGCTGGGGAAGGACTGCGTCGGACATGCGCCGAGGCAGACGAAACGGCAACGCGAGAAGCGAACCGCAAAGGCGGAAGCGACGTCGTTGACGTGCTGCGTTTCAGATTGCAGGGTCATTCTTTTTGCCGTTGATCCTGCGACCGGCAACAAGAAGAAATACCATCATACGAAGAACGGGGCGAGAGTGGTGCGCGGGAGCTGCAGTGAACGCGGCAGAACCGCGCAGGGAGTATTCAATGGGTCGAGGCGCATGCAGCGACTGCTGACGCGCGCGTCCTGCGAGAAAGAGTTCGCCTGGCAGGGGCGCGCCAGCGACGATCAAGTGAGTGAGCACTTCACAAGGAAGAGTAAGGGCGCATGCGCAGATTGCGCTACCGACGGGCCCGCGGCGCGCAGTTGGCAAGCTTATGCCAGCGCAGTGGCAAATGCCAGCTGAAACTTCGAAGTCGCGCGCGACGCAACAAAAACACAGCTTAACATCGAATTGTGCAATTGATATCCCTCGCCAGTGTCATCGCCAACGCCATCGCGAGTAGCGGCCCAAATGGGCGCCCGCGTGTTTCGTGGAGGGATTCATGGAGCGTTTCGTGGAGTGTTCCGTGGGGTGCTTCGTTGGGTATCCCGTGTAGTGTATCGCGGGGCGTTTCGTGGTGCGCTTCGTGTAGCGTTGGTTGATGTGTCTTGCGTTGCGTTCCGTTTGGTATTTCGCGGGGTGTTTCGCGCGGTGCTGGTGCTCCGCGTGGCGTTGGCTTCTGGCCCTTGGATTGCGGGCTAGTGTGGCGCGCTTCAAGTGGTATTGTTTGAGGCACATTTGCCGAAACCTGGAGAGGAGGAGGTTCGGGGGATGAAGACGTGGGGGAGGGGGCGGGGAGGGGGACGATGAAGAGGAGGGCGATGAGTAGGATATAGGGGTGAAGAAGGCGATGACGGCGACGACGAGGATAGAGGGCTCGTGGATATTGATCGGGATCTCGTGGTTGGCTTTTCGGGAGCCTCCATGAGCCAGGTTCGAGGCCTCGCGGTCGCCGTTTTGGAGCCTCTGGTGGTTTTTGTTCGGCCTTCTCGGGGGTTGTCTAGGGCCTTTTCTATGCCTTTTTGGGGGTCTTTGCCTCCTGTAAACCCCTTGGGGCCTTTGGGGGGTTGTTTGGGGTTTCCTGGCGAACTCTTGCGGCAGATTCGGGCGCCTCTTGGGCCGTTTTGGAGGGTCTTGGGCAGTCTTGGAGCGTTTTGGGAAGTCTCCTGGGCCGTCGTGGGGCGGTCTGGGGGGGCGTTTGAGTCGTCTTGGAACGTCGGACAACCGAAGGGGCGATTTTGTCTAGCACGTATGTTGTACAAAAGGAATGGGGCCATTTTTGCGTCGAGGGGCCCTCTTGGGACGCATGTTCGGGGCGCCATGGGGGGTTTAGGGGGCTTCAGCGAAATTTCGGCCACTCGTGACCCTCTTGGACCGTCTGGGGTGCGTTGTGGTGCCCTGTTTGACTGTTTTGCCCTTCCCCCCGCCCGTGCCGCGCATTGCTCAGGACTTCCAGCGGCCCAGGGGGGGGGGTCAAATTGCCGATGTGGGGTCCCCTTGGGGGGGAATTTGGGGGGGCAATCTCACACGCCTGCAGACCCACAGGGGGTGGGCGGATCTGTTGTCGTGTGTGCGATGTCGCGTGGATGCGGACATGCTCGGTGGTCACGTAGGACTTTGTGACCAATGCGCTTGGCAGTAGTTGTAGTACAGTAGCAGTAGTACAGTAGTTGTTTGTTAATCCACATGGGGCATCATCGGAACGATGTTCACTGTGTATCCGTGCCCCCAGTTGGACCGCCATGCGCGTGGCATAGTTCTCTTGCAACCCGCACTAACGTGTGTTCGGCCAACCGATGCGTCTAGATATCACCACCACACGATGGCTTGATCACGAATCCTTGTGAAGCTCCCTGCCTTCTCCGCCGCGTTCCCCTCTCCCCCTACTCTTGTCCTTACTCCTCTTGATATTGCTCTTTCTTATCCGGGTCCTGGTCCTACTCTTTTCCTATCCTCCTCCGCCCCCTTTCTGAGGTCTGGGAGCGACCTGCGCTGCCGTCAATACTGCAAGGCGGCGGAGGATCCTCCAGCTATGGCGAAGGCAGCGGCGGGGGTGGGAGACGAGAGCCCAGGGTAGGGTGGGTGGGTGTGTGTGTGGGGGGGGGGGGCAAAACACAGCGCGCCTAATAAGTCACGTCTTGTACATTGGGTCAGAGAGCAGAAAGAGGCAGGGAGTGCCTCTTGGGGAGCGGACCACGTCAGCCGTCATCTGTTTCTGTGCCCTTGTGACCATCCAGATCTGGCCCAACACCTGCGTACTCCCCGTCCTCATTCTCCATCATTCCGTTTCTCCCCTCCCTCCTCCTCCCTCTTCTCCTGCCTGATTCAGAACACCGTGTCGGATCCTTCTGTAGACTTGCTGCGTCCGATGGGAGTGGTCTCAGGGAGCACGTGGATGCCCGCGGCATTGCTGTGAGCCCGTATTTCTGACAAGCAGACACCGCGAGTTCCCAGCAATGAGAAGCAATATCGAGCATAGTTCGCGGTATAGTTGACCCGTTGCGGCAGCCGATTCACACGAGAGGTTCGGACATTTTTGTGCCAGCAGTTCGAGGGCCATTTCCCTCAGGTGCGCGTTGAGATGCCATTTAAAGCCGGGACAAGGTTTGCACATGTTTCCGTGAAGATACATGTCAGTTCGATGTTTAAGTTGGCATGGCAGTTCGGACGAGATCAGCACAATGTGAATGGACAAATGGGCGGGTTTAAATGTCACAGTATAGATGTATGTATGTATGTATGTATGTATGTATGTGTGTATGTGTGTATGTGTGTATGTATGTATGTATGTATGTATGTATGTATGTATGTATGTATGTATGTATATGTATATGTATATGTATATGTATATGTATATGTATATGTATATGTATATGTGTTTGGATGTGTATTTGTATATGTATATGTATGTGTATATGTATATGTATATGTATATGTACATGGATACGTATATGTATATGTATATGTATATGCATATGCATATGCATATGCATATGCATATGTATATGCATGCATGCATGCATATATATATATATATATATATATGCATGTGCAGATGTATGCATGTATATATGTATATATATATATATAAAAATATTGGCCTTAATTAGCATGCGAATTGTCTGCCTCCGAATGTCGTCGAGGGCCGCTTCCATGACATCGTTGCTCAAGACTGAACGGGCCCACGCCCCATGCTGGGAGCCATTGCCCCCCTATCTCGGATACGCGTCCCAGATTACTGTATCCTATCTTTCGCGGTGCCCATCGGCGCCGCCCTGCCCCGCTTGCCCTAGCTGGCCGACCCTGCACCCGTGCCCTCCTTGCGCGGCGTGCCCCGCCTGCCCAGGAGCGCCGGCGTTGGTCGTGCAGGAGTGTCCCGCGGCCGCCGCCTCTCAGGACGAGTCCGCCGGTCCCGGCGGAGTGGGCGTCGAGTGGCTCGCGTTCGTCCTCCTGATCGGGGTGATCGTCGGCGTGGGTTTCAGCTGCCTCGTGTCTGCGGCCTGGCGGTTGAGCTGGTCGCGGCGAGCGCCGACTGAGACCACCACGACGCCAGATGTCGGCGCAGCAGCCCGACCGCTTGCTGTGGGTCCTCTACGTCGGCGACCCGCTCTGGCATCAACGTCTGGCGTTGGGTCGCTTGCGGCGACCGGCGCCCGATTCCGATTGAAGAGTGGCGCCTCGTCATCTGCACGCCGGACGGGGACGTGTACGACGAGGACCACTCGGGCAGGTCGGCCGACATCGCGGCCATTCGTGTGCGTTCTGATCGGAGTCGACCTCCTGGGATCAATGCTCCGGACAGCTATCGCTTCAGGCGCGCTCCGACGGCTGCGGAGATCACGGCCTACTATGCGGCGGGTGAGACCTACTGCCGCGGCGCTCGCGGCCGAGGCAGCCGTGGCGGGCCAACCGTTCGTGGCGCTTGCCGGCGGCTGCTTGGTGCCTTTGCCCGCCGATGGCGTCGACGGCGCTGCCGCTGCTGGACCCGCGCCCGTGGCGCTTGGCGCGGGCGCCGGGGTCTTGCTGCCTTCTACGCCCGGCATGGCGGCGCCCGCCGCTGCGCTGGCTGGAGCCACTGTCGGCGCGCCTGCTGCCCCGGCTCCGAACTGGGTGGCCATCGAGAGCACGACCTTCGCCAAGCGGGGCGAGACGGCCCTGTTACCAGCGAGCGCGGTGGTGCAAGTCGACTTGGCGATCGTGCAGACGCCGTCTGGCCTCAGCGTGGCCGTGCGGAACATCCACGCCATGGACGCCGGAGTGTTCGCGGCGCTGGAGTCGGTTCGAGACTCTCGGATCTTGGGCGGCTCGGCCCACGTGCTCGCGCGGCCTCGCCGCGGCTGGAGCGACGTTTGCAAGGAGCTGGACGAGAGCCCGTACTCAACGTGGACGGCGCCAGGCCCTCGGACAGTGAAGTGGTGCGTTGAGTGGTTGGATCGCCGCTCCACGTCTCCTGTGGCTCATTATCGGCAGTTCGTCAGCGTGTTCTCGCTCAAGCTTGACTCCTGGGGGGTCGAGAAACATGCGGCAGCTCTCCGTGCTCATGAGGAGACGGCCTGTCACGACGGGGCCAACATTTGTGATCTGGCTGGCATCGAATCCCTCACGTGCACAGCTCAGCTCGCAGAGTGCGTCTACTGGATGGACTCGATGGGTGCTGCCGAGAAGAGCGGCAACAAGGAAAATAAGCCTCGCAGCTCGACCGCGACCTTCGCCGGGCTGATGGCTGATTGATGAGACTGCGATCTTCTCTGGCTTGAACACAGTCACCGGATTAGCAATGCGTGCCCCGCTTTGTTGGGCCATGTCGCCCGGGACGTCGAGAAGGATCGGCGATTCTAAAACAGGTCAGAAAAGCCTAGGAGACGGCTGCGCTTCTCAAGAAGCAATGACGACTTCAGACAGCAGCCCGGGTGATGCCTCTAGCCTGGTGCTGGACCGAGAGGCGATCGACCGCTCGACGACGCGGTGTCCTGCTTCTGTCCGCTTGCCCTTCGAGTCGAGTGCTGAGCGGCAGCGTGACCTCCTTCCTCTCCCCCTCCACTGTCTGCCCGAGGTGGGCCCTGCCTCGCCAGTTTTGCCCCGGTCAGCTCGCAGGCGCCATCTTCGCCAGGCCCACTCGGGTCAGCTTTGCAAGGACATCGCCTCGAGCCTCAATCATTTTTTCTGGAGGGCCTGTGGGGGTGTGGCCCGCCCATCCTAGCGCGGCCCAGTGCGACGCTGTCCGCCTCGTCCGTCGCGCGGTGGATCGCGTCGGGCCCCCCCCTCCCCATCTCCGTGGCGCGGGGGCATTTAGTGAGCTCTGCGCCCGGCGCGCGCACGGTGGTGAACCGGCTACCTTGGCGCCGATCGGCCCGGGCCACGTCTGCCATCTCGATCTGCCGACCCTCGAAAATTGCCAGAAGCCTTGGGGGGCTCTTCTGGGCCCGGAGGGTGAGCTCATGGCAGAGAAACTTCCAAGTAATATTTACCCTGGGCGCCTTGCGCGCAAGAAGAATAAGGCCCCCGAGGGCTCCGTGGACCGCGTGCTGACCCCGGGCGCCGCCCGCGTTTGCACGCCTCGGTCCTGAAGCGGCCCGGGAGGCTGGCTTGGTGGAATGGTGGTCAGGATGCAAAGCAACGGTTGGGATCTTCGCAGCATGCATGAAGTCTGGGAAGCATCGTGTGATCATCAATTAGATAATCTCGAGCTGTTGGCTTGACGATGCCGATCCTGTTCGTCAGTCGAGTGGGTCCTCGTTTTCGCCCATTCAAGTCGACTCCAACGCGCCTATCTGTGTTGGGGGTGTTGACGTGGCGAACGCTTGCTAAAATTTCGCCCTTCCGGAGGGGCCCGAGTGTTTCTCTGGGTTTCCTCGTATTTGGGCTGGGCAAGTGGGCGCCTCGGAGTCGGGTGGGGTCCCATTGCCCCCTTCGTCCTACATCGCGCCCATTTTCACCGCGACCCCGATGGGCTGAAAGCAACCCCTGCGGATCACGCAGTATACATTGGAGGCGATCTCGCTGCGAGCCCCTGACATCCGAAGGGGCAGCGCCCTCTTCGATGGGCAACCTGCTCCTCCCCTTCGACCTATGATACATGCAGAGTACGTCGATAACTGCATTGCCCTCAGTCAGTCTCAGCAGCCAGCCGGCGATGCCGCCCGCCCTGTATCCGCCGAGCTGGTTCGCGCCCAATTACCTGCGCGCCCGGCGGAGGACACTGGAGGAGGTGCTACCCTAGGATGGACGTTCTCTGATTATTCAGCCGGGGTTGGGGTCAATCCGGTCACCTGCTGGAAACCCCAGCTGGGTTGTCAGGAGCTTGTTAGGAGAAAATACGCTTCGGGAGAAACTGTCGAGATCCTCGCGCCCCATTTTACCCCCCGGACTCTGGTTCGTCGCGAGCTGCCGCGCGTTTTCAAAACAGCTTTCTCGTTCAGAGAGCACGCTGGAGACGCGGCGGTGGCACTCTGGCCAGCAGTAAACAGAGAATTTATGTGGGCCAGTCATCCCATCGTTCTTGCCGCTCGTGACCCGGCAGCCCCTTGCTCTTCAGGGGTGTCAGTGGTTGACGCTTCAAGCTGGGCATTGGGAGTCTGCACTCAGGCGTTGGACCCCCTCGTGGTCGCCGACTTAGGTAAGCAGAACGAACGCTGGGGGTTCATTCGGGACGAAGAAAAGACAGTTGGGAAGGCTCAAAGTCCTCAAATCTGGTCCCCCTCGTTTCGCGCCCTCCTTCAGGACCTGACGCCCCTGGGGTCCTGAACCCCCCCCTCCCGCGGGGCCCTGTGACCCTCATCCGCCCTTCCGCCGCCCCTCCGCGGGCCCCTAGTGGTTACAATACACATATTTCGGCATGCGGACTTCACTAACATGAGCGTCTGGGATTTCGTGAAGTGCAATGTTTGGCGCAGCGAATTTCGCGAAAAACGTCGGTTCGGATTTCCCAAGTGGTTATGATGCCGTATTTCGGATTTTAGACATGTCTTCCGACGTACTTCGGGAATTCTGAAACGGGCTGTCATGAAATCTCGGGAAGCTCATATATGTAAAATCTGAAAT